CTTCAACACAGAGGAGATGCCACAGCAGGAAATGTTGCTACCCAGAAAGGTTGTTGGAACTGTGGAAAGTAAGAACATATGAGGAGCCAATGCAAGAAGAATACCACCAATAAGTCAGCTTCGGGAAACCAGTAGTGGTTGGTGCTGAGGGACACCCACCAACCTCTATCGTGAAAGTCCCAACAGCTAAGTGTAAAATGGCAAGCACACATAGTGTCTACATGACAGGGAAGCTGGATGGCCAAAGGTGCAACTTTGTCATAGATTCTGCGTTTCAGCAAACCCTTGTGAGTATCAAGGTGCTGGATCACAGAGGAGTACCAGAAGCTCTGTGGTGTGAGAGGACATTATGCAAGGTTGTGGGGACCACACTTGACTCAATTGTCCGTCTCTATCTGTCTGCAATTATCTATATCTATGCTGTCACTTCTCGCTGGTCTTATATATATACGAAATAGAAGACGTCTGGAGAACACTCGAGCCTTCACCAACGTTCATTACGTGTTACTAGCGTCACGTGAATTCCGCTGTCGTAACAATATGTCTTGCTTTTAGGGCTTATGAATATTTTATATGAAAAGAAAATCTATCAAATATAAACAAATGACGATTCTGCTGCTTATATCGTTTCAAACATTAGACCAAATAAAATATGGCGTGTTTCTGATAACATGGTTGTGAAAGTTAGGGTAGACAGCTTGGTATTTTTTTTTCAACATGGAACATTTTTTAACCTCCGGCTGAACGAACTAAGCCTTGCGCGGATTAAGCCACCTTATATTATGCGTTGGTTTAATCTAACCAGAATACTTTTACTATCGACTCGTTTCATCAAAATTTATTTCACTACATGTTAGAAACTCATCCTATAAAATGAAAAAAGAAACCTCCACAGTTTCATAAGCGTTGCCAGGAGGTGAGGAGAAGATCGTTAGATGCGAATAATCATCCTTTTGAACCTTCACTACATTTTCGATCTTTCTATCTCCATATGTAACCAAAATGTCAGAGAACCTGTCAAGATTAATTTAACTAATTAAATAAACATAGACAAGTCTATGAACATGTACAACCTTTCCTAAGGGCAATAAATGAAATAGTGCAACTCAAGGTTGGATACGTCCGATTCATGCAAGACTTGTAACTAATTACAAAAATCTGTGATTAAATCTTCTTGAAAAATCGTATGAATAAAAATACATTCATATTTTATATTATTGGAGGGTTTAATTTATTATATTTGCACGATGGTCGAAAGGTGTGTCAAAAACATTTTTCCTCTAGCGGATGTCACGTTAATTTTGTCACTAAATGGTCAGGAGTAGATAATGTTTCAAATTGGTAATATGAAGTATAATTAACAATATCAGTAGTTCACATGAAACCTGAATTAGGCATATATATAGGCGTTGAATATCATAAATATGAAGTAATAATAAAATCCCAACATACTTATTCCATTGTTTTTTACTCTCAAGTTATCGACTCATGTTTATTATATCTGTTCTCTACGGTGGGGTTTAAGTATTGCACCATAATTCACATAGAATTTTCATGCCCAATGTCGAAGCCCCTAATTTAAACACTTAAACAAACTGTATTTTTATTATTAATAAGTATCTTTTTGTTGCAAAGATCTATGAGAGTTTAGTCAAACATTAATTACTTTCTATTGAAGCTTAACTTTCGGTTTAACATATCTGCCTAAAAACAAACAAACAACAACAAAAAAACAGTAACACGTGAACTATTTTCATTTATTTAACACTAGTTGGAGTACCCGTCCCCTGGATGGAAGTTATGTATCAGGTCGTCAAGAAATTAATCTTTTTAGATGAAAAAATCCGAACAACTTATATATCAAAACAAAACATTTATTAAATGAAATAGTTTCCATTCTTATTGATGATACTTTTCCATCTTACAATCAGGTTGTTAATGCCCTGATTTAAAAAAAATCACTTAGCTTTGAGGCAAAAAAAAAAAAAAGTCGACGTCCTCTTTAACACCTTCCACATTTGCATACGTTTTCCTATTAAGATGGTGTTGTAGCGAACGAAGAGATGGTAATCTGATAGTGCCATATCTGGAGAATATGGTGGGTGGGGGAGCATTTCCTAACCCAACTCCATAATCTTTTATTGCGTCAAACGTGCTACGTGTGGACGTGCATTGTCGTGGAGAAGAATAACACCTTTCCGATTGACGAGTGAAGGGCTTGATTTAAACGTTACAGTTGCTGACTATAGATTTCTGCATTGACAGTTCGCTGTGGATTGAGAAGTTCGAAATGAATTACTCTTTTGATGTCCCATCAAATGCAAAGTATCACTTTCTGCAGATGGAGTCCAGCTTTTGGGGTCGGAAGTGGTTTTTGTCTAGGATTGAGCCATTGTTTTTGGCGTTTAATATTCGCATAGAAAATCCATTTTCCATCACCGGTGACAATTCTGTCCAAAAATGGTTCACGCGCCAGAAGAGACGAAGCAGCGTTCACACGTTGGAAATGATGATCATCGGAGAGTTCGTGAGGCACCCAAACATCTTCTTTATGAAGTTTTCCCATATTCCTTAGATGTTTACATACTGTTTCACGAGAGACAAACAATTTCAGGGCCATTTCACGAGCGTGTTGCCTTGGGTTAGACTCAACAAACGTCTTCAAAGCATCAATATCAATTCCAACATGTCGGCCCCTGCCATCACAGTTGTTAAGGCTGAAGTCACCTGAACGAAATTTGCTGAACCATCGTTGACACTTACGAACGTTCAAAATATTTCCATAAACTTTTTTGATATTCTTTGTGGCTACAGAGGCGTTGTTTCCCTTTTTGTATTCAAACAGCATTACACGCCGAATGTGTGTCTCATCGTGTACCATCACTGTAAGGGCTTAGAGTATATTAAACTTTACACATTATATAGGCCACGCTAACGTGACGTTTAGGCGGTTCCTTTAACTATTATACGTGATTTACGTTTTTTGGGGGTGTTTAATAAAAGTGTTCCAAAACGCGACATTAATTTCTTGACGAACTAATAAATTCATGATTAATGAAAGGTTATCTTAGGACATGAAAAGTTGCTTATATGTAATTGTAAAAAACGCACAAACGCCCATAAAAACTGCAAAACACAAAATGTGAAACCGCAAGTTTGCATGTATCTCCCCATGGACCCAACAAACTTCATGCAAAATTTGTTGAAAATCCATCAACAGGAGGCGAATTAGTGGTAAAAAACTAAAAAATTCATATAAAAGCCGCATAATGCAAAGCTGAAAATGTGCATGTACCCCCACATGGACCTAATGAATCCCCATAACAATTTTGGTGAAGATCCATCCACACCATGCGAAGTAGTAACATGGACATGCAACAGACAGTATTAAAATAGATTGGTTTAAATTTTTATAATTTTGAAAAAATGAACAAATTATAATTTGTTAAAGTTCTAAAGTCTAAACTAATAGATTATACCTTTGTCTCTAAATTAGCACCTGTGGAGAGTGTTGATAAGATGGTTTTTTTTTTTTTTTTTTTTGATACCATCCATATAAGTGAGGTCGGATGTTCGATAAGTTTGGTTTGTGACTTTATGAACCTCACACTTGAAGTAATTTTGCTATTTTATCGTGCGTTGGTCTAATAACAACAACGCTCCTTGAATAAAAATTAAAACCGATTTAAATAACATTTAATAACAGAATTTTTTATTACAAGCATGCTGACGCATGCTCAGATAAATAGATAAATTTGGTCAAAACTGGGATGTTGCAGTGAAAGGATAACTTGATAATTAAAGTTAATTTAAACCTTAATATACTATATAACAAAGTAGTACTTTTCAAAAGATGGGGATTTTTACAAAGTTTACCTCAAAATACAAATTTATATTCTGTGGACTTTTTATATTTTGGATTATTGGGATGATTTATACAGGTATGGTGATACTGATAGTAATACTAATACAATTTTTCCCGTGTCTGCATTGACGGTTAAGACAGCTTACCTAGGCCTGTCATTTAGGTTCTTAGTTGACCGTAAATTTTATGCAACGTAAGAACTAAGACATAGTAAACATATGTTAAAAGCCGGAATTAAATTAGAAGTACGTTATTCGTGATGGTATAAATAATGAAGAAAAGCAGATGAAACAAAATAATTAAGAAAATTTATGTAACAAAATCAGAAAATATTTGAAGACATATATGAAATTGAATTTAACTTAAAAATCCAGGAAAATTTTATTGAATTCGAATAAAGTAACCAAGCTTATAATTAATAACATTAACTAATACTCGAATCAATCAATCAGTGTTTGTTAAATGTATCGCGTTTGGCTTTTGTGCCACATGTATTAACCATACGTGAGGAACAAAACTCAGGATTTTTATCACCACTACATCTGTAATAAGCATATATATGTTATTATTTTCAGTATTGTCTATTGGCCAAAAACGATCTGGAGACCAAAAAGATGGAAAGTTACAGATGAATTTTCCAAAACGCAATCACTTGCCACCACCCAATAGCTTAAAAATGGTGAAAATCCACCGATATTGTAATCCACCAGAAAATATTTCTTTAGGGAGAGAAGGTAAGTTATTATACTAAATATTATTCTTTGCTTTATTTAGTATTCTTGTCTGAACGTAAAAGAAAAAAAAAGTAAGTGTAAGAGGTTTTTAAAATGAACTGACCTAGATGTTTGGTTCTAAAGAATAGTATAAGGCAGAGGTGGACAAATGTTTTTGTGGTGCCCCCTTTCTAAACATGCATTTTGTTGCCCCCCCCCCCCCATCATTTGCTCATGTTGAATGTTGTAACTATATTACTTAATAATAGTAGTATTTATATGGTAGTTTTTAAACTTCTTTATATATATAAATTTGTACTTTAAAGATGTAGTTTATATACTATTGTAGTTGTGCTCCCCTTGGGGGCAGAGGGTGCACCAGGTATAAGGTCTGGTCTACAAGTATCTCTTTATCTTACCATTCTATAATACACTGTAGATCATCATATGTAAGCAAAAAACAAGCAGGGGTCATAAGCTTTATATTAAATCTGTTGTAATGTGTCTGTTAGTCAGTAATTTTATTATTATATCATTTGAATGTGGATATAGGTGGATTAAAATAGTTAAATGTGAGGTTTCTCTCAACTTGCTTATATAAAATCGAAGTATAGAGATAAGATAAATGTGGAGCCGAATTTTTGTTTGAAACAGTCAGACACTGACCCAGAAATTCGCAAGATTGTTTCAGCAAAGCAGTATCATCCTTCACATTAAAGTAAATCGTAAGATTTATATTTTTAATTTTCCATATTTAAATCTCTTTTCATTGTTCTTTTCTTAAAACTAGAATCAAGCTGTAAAGGTAGTAAAATATGCATATGATACACTAGTTACACAAGGTAAAAACTATTTTTAATGGGAGGTGGTCTACCAATACAGTAAAGAAGTTGAAGGGGTCCTCCATTTGGCAAAGTTTGGGAACCCCCGTGTTAAAGTAAGCCCAACCCAAGTTATTAGTATAGCTCTCATCCTCCACTATTACATGCTTCTATCTGCATCTTCAGTGGTTCTAGAGATCCACACAGTAACGGGGTCTTATATAGGGAAGGTGTATTATTTTATTCATTACTCTTTCAGTAAATGGTAATTTCATAAATTTGATATATTACTGTGCCCCCCCCCCCTTAAGTACTGTTGTGGACCCTGAGGGGGCCATGGACCACAGTTTGGGAACCTCTGCTTTAACATCATCTTGGTATTTATGGTTGGAATGGTAACTTCAAGGACAGTTTGCTGTTTGCCCTATTGATGTCTTGTATTCTAATTACTTAACATCATCTTGGTATTTATGGTTGGAATGGTAACTTCAAGGACAGTTTGCTGTTTGCCCTATTGATGTCTTGTATTCTAATTACTTAACATCATCTTGGTATTTATGGTTGGAATGGTAACTTCAAGGACAGTTTGCTGTTTGCCCCATTGATGTCTTGTATTCTAATTAATTCTTTCTTCTATTGTTTTTATTTTATTTATTTTTTGTGAGCAGCCACAACAAAATGAGAAGGTCAAAAGGTGACTAAGAATTTGGATGAATTGTGGGGAGTAGTACTACAGGAACAATATTTCACAACTGTATATTGATAAATTGTGTGGCAGCGTTAAAATATGGTGTAATGTTCAGCGTAAAACAAACAACAAACTCGTGTAAAATGTATACATATAATTTAAGAACAACAAGGGACATAATGGTCCATCTAGGACATCCCATACACTCAAAGCCAGCCCTTATCATTCAAGCCTTTCCTTAAACTCTCTTAAATTAATTGCATCTACCACATTTGAAGGCAACCCATTTTTAAGGCCAACCACCCTCGAAGAAAAATAAAACTGTCTTATCTGAAAATAACTGCTATCTTATCAGAATTTATTTGTGTCCAATAGTACTACTATTCTTACCATTAAGTACAAGAAAAGATGATACATTGATACTGTAAATTCCCTTAATAATCTTATACAGCTCAATCAGATCCCTCCTAATCTTGTATAGCTCAATCAGATCCCTCCTAATCTTATACAGCTCAATCAGATCCCTCTTAATGCTTCTTTCCTTGCAAGAAAACAATTTCATAAATATTAACCTGTTCTCGTATTACAACCTTTTAATTGTAGGAGTTTTCTGAATCTTTTCCAACAAATAAATGTTCCAAATGTAGCCTAACCAGTGACCTATACAATGAAATTATAACCTTTTTAGACTTGTATTCAATATTTCTGTAGATACAACCTAAAATCCTCTTTGCCCTACAACTAGCAACAGTACACAGCTTGGATCGATACATGAAATCAGTATTGCTGTTGACAGTTTAAGAAACATCTAGCTGAGAAATCATGAAGAAAAAACAACTTTTGGGATCTTCTGTTTCTGGGGAAGAAGAAAAAAACATAAAATTTTGTAAAGTACTGAAAGAGTGAGATGGAGAAATTGAGAGAGGGTTGTTGAAATGTCCCTCTGGAAGAATGGTCCAATTTCCAGAACAGCTAACAAATTTGCTGGTTCAACCACCTGGTCCTCTGTTAACGATACCCAAGAAGTTAAGAAAAATGTTTTTTAGTCAACACAGAATCAAGATACGTGTAGTCTTTTCTTCATTTACCACAGCCGTGCTTCCTGTAATTGTATTTATTACAGCCATGCTTTCAAAAGCTGCATTTATTACTTTTCCAGTAATTTATTACTTTTTAGAAAAATGTTTTTTAGTCAACACAGAACCAAGATACGTGTAGTCTTTTCTTCATTTACCACAGCCGTGCTTCCTGTAATTGTATTTATTACAGCCATGCTTTCAAAAGCTGCATTTATTACTTTTCCAGTAATATCCTACAGGAGTGAAACCTCGTTAGCCACAGGATTTGAAGAGCATTTCCATTTTTCTGTATTATGAAAACACTAACAGATTATGATGAAAAAAATAATAATTATCAGTCATTAGTACATATCGTCTTGCTGCTTATCCGAGTTTCAACCTGAACAGTACTAAACACTAAACCGAGAATGTTTATGAGATGTTGGTAAATGTATTGAAGTCTTGGAATGTGTCACTCAATTCTACACAGATGTGTGTCAGGAATCACAAATTCACTGACATTGGTGTGACCATTTAGTTTGATGACCTGTATCTTCAACTCGCTATGCAGGTGAAACCTGAAAGGCTGCAGATAAAACAGCTGTGAAACAGTTATTCAGAATGGTGGAATCACCAGAATAGTTGGTGTTAACATAAATCCTGGCTCGGATGAATGCTTAAGAAGCAGTATTTCAGGAAAAGCTCTTTAAAACCAAATTTATTATTTTTTACATGTTTAAATACGGGACTCTGTGCTGAATCTACAAATAACAGCTTACCAGTGAACAATACCAGACATATCGGGAATAGCTGAGTAAAAGTTATTAATATGTGGACAACCAACATATCACACATTCGTGGCTGCAATGGAAAATATTACTTAGAGCCCTTAAACAGATGTTTAGAACTGAATGAAACCATGGAAATATTAATGCTCTATTAAGGAGACATTGTAGTTACAATGGCTGCAGGATGAACTGTAGTAAGGCCTAAGTTAAAATATTGTTTATTTGACTCTTAGCAACTGCAATAATTTTATGTTTTATTTTTTTATCAGTAGACATATAAAGTGACATTTTTTAAGAGCTCTGTGAATTAAATCAATGCAAGTGAACTTAAAGCTGTTAAACTTAATTTACATTTCTTTGCCAAGTATGTAAAAAATAAGATACCTTGTTATTTTTAGTATAAATTAGGAAAGCACTCAGAGAGTGCAACCTCTATACAGAAATGTTTTTTACTTTTGCAGGAACCGACCTAAAATATCAACCAAACAATTTGTCACCCTTAAAAGTGTAGGTCAAGGTGTCAAAATCCCCAATATCCAAATTTATTAAGAGTTTTTACAATTTTAAAAAATCCCAATCTGTTACCGTTGTAATTATATTCACCAAAAGTTAAACAATTGGTCGTTAGAGGGACACTCAGTTCGAAATTAACTGTTAAAACATGCACAGTAGTGAAAACGGTACCTCCACTGATGAGTGGGGGTAAAAATAGTTTATTAATTTTGTAAATATGTGATGGAAGTATTTACATGTAGTCTTTTTATTAACTAGCAAAAAAAAGTTTTTGAATTTTTTGTGTAATTTAGGCTACAAGTGCACGTCTTCGATAAAACATTATTGGATATATTTTAATGCTCAAGAAGTAGTGTATCACCAACTCCTTGACATGTTGAACTTATCAAATTTTGTAACAGAATTCAGTTAAAACTCCTCATATAGCAATATTTGAGAAATAATTTAAATCTTAATGATTGTGTTTTCTTTCCAAAATAAAGGAATGCAATGACAAAGAAAAAAGAAATGTTGAAATTTTTTTTAAAAGTGGATAAAAAATTGAATAGTTCACGATTAATTTTTAACCAAAATACAAACTTTTTACAGTTTTCATTGTTTAATATTGGTGCCCAAAATTTGTAAAAGTGTGAACAAAATCAGTGATTTGAGATGCGTAAAGAACAATTCTAAGAATTTATGCATAACACATTTCATTGTAGGGTTGGTCAAAGGAAATTATTCTCTTGAATTGGTAGCAGTGCTGATTCGCCATGGTGATAGAGGACCACTGATATCTGTCAGAAATCAATCAGCCATTAACTGTGGACTTCAGGGTCGACACAACCATCCTCTGATAAGTAAGTATTTTAAATCTTTGAGGATGAAACACAGGTGGCAAAAACTGAGAGAACAGTTTGGGTCATATCCTTTATATCCAGAAGAAAGGAATTGTCAGAACGGAGAGTTAACTCACGTTGGAGCTATGCAACATCTAGTGCTTGGTCAGTTGCTTGGAGAAGTTTATAAGAAGAAGTGGAATCTTCTTCCAGAACGTACAACATCTGACCATTTTAGTGTTCTAAGTACTCGCTATTCACGAACTTTCCAAAGTGCTCTAGCGTTTATTTTTGGTTTTCTTCCGAAGTTAGAACTTGATGACCTTAAGGTTATTCCAGTGGAAGACCAGTTATTCTGTATCAAGGAAGAGAGCTGTCAGTGTGAAAACCTAAATCAACAGGAAGCTCTGGTTGATGAAAAAATGAATCAGTTACTGAAGTCTCATCCAGCAGTGGTTGACTTGATCTACAAGTTGTCTCCCATTGTGAGGGGTAGAGGAGCTAGCCCTAACATTACTCACATCAAACCACTTTTTGATGCTCTCATGGCTTATGTGTGTCATCAGTCCCACCTCCCTTGTTGGCCTCAACCATACACATGTGCAACGATTGATCATGTAAGAAACATGATTTCGTACCTAGACTGGAAAGGGAAGCAACTGCTAGGCTACCCTCCGTATCGAAAAGGAGCTCTTTTGAAAACATACAGTTTACTTACTCGTTTGAAAAACATTTTATCTGACAGGATCCGGAGAAGAACGGACCGACGTTTCTTCCTTTTTTCAGGGCATGATTTGACCATTGAGCCACTGTCAGTAATTCTGGCTTTCAACAGTGGGACTATTCCACCTTACGCATCAAGAGTGGTATTTGAACTGTATAAACAAACGAAACCATCTCATTCAGACGAAGATTACGTTATCAGAGTTTTGTTTAATGGGAAGGATGTTACCAACTTTTTACCATTCTGCAAGAGTGCTTTGATATCAGAAAAACATGTGTGGAAAGGTGGTAAAAGCTACAAGCAGCATTTTTGCCCTGTTGAAAGTTTCTATAAGTTTATGTCCAAAGATTTCTTCACAAGTGTAAATGGGACTGATTTTTCTAATGCATGTGGTCTCTCTTAACTAAGAGTTATAAATTTGCATAAGCATCATAATTAAGAATCCTGTAACTTAAATGTTTCGTAATCAAGCTTTTCTTGTTTTTGTATTGATAATTATGCTTAAGTAGTATTTATGACTATAGAGGCCGCCAGTAATCTCTTCGGAAAAAATGCTAATTTATAGGCTTTTTATCATTTATTGTTCGACTGTGGGAAAAAATGTACTTTATCTTCAAGTAATTAAACAATTGAAATGTTAATTTATTAGTTAAGGCAAATATAAAATGGGTAAAGTGCAAAAAGAAACTTCTGTGATATCAAAATATATCCCAAAACATATTAGTTACATAAGAGTATAGCCTCAGTATGATAATCTTGAATACATATACCTACTATACTGGAGGAAGAGAATAGGTATGTAATTATGTGAATAACCATACATGTACATTTGCTGAGTGTAAAATGTTTCAAATCTGTTATGCAGTCACATAAAAAATATGCATATGATTTAATAGACATTATACATCTAACATTTATTTTATAGTAAGAAGTAATTCTTATGAAATACAAAAGATGTTTCTTCTTCCGTTACACTTTTTGTCTATAATGAAAGAGTATTAGTGAAGATCGGGTTTAAAGGTTTCATCTGTGATGTATAATTTGTCTCTATTATATTTCTGGCTACTTAATGTAGTTACACAATTGGCTTAAAGGAGGTTGAAGTACCGGTTGACAAGATGCGAAGGTGAAATCAAGATTTATATAAAGGTATTTGAACATCACATTCACAAATGGTAATTTATCTTTTAAATGATTTTCATTACATAAGTTTTTTTTTTCCTACAGAAATAGATGTTTCTCTTTGTATCGAAAGCTAGAACTTGATCAAGTGTTTTACTAACGATCTTTAGATGCTGACTTTCTCAACAGTTTCCACATTAGAGGTGTTTAATGAAAGTGAAATCAAGATTTATATAAAGGTATTTGAACATCACATTGACATATGGTAATTTATCTTTTAAATGATTTTCATTACATAAGTTTTTTTTTTCCTACAGAAATAGATCTTTCTCTTTGTATCGAAAGCTAGAACTTGATCAAGTGTTTTACTAACGATCTTTAGATGCTGACTTTCTCAACAGTTTCCACATTAGGGGTGTTTAATGAAAGAAATTTTACTCTCTGTGATGATATATTAATTTTAGGTATTGAACTGAAATACAAAGAATTAAAATGTCTTTTGTTTTAGTTACTAAAAAACATATTTCAACAACATTGGTTTGTTGAAATATGTTATTATTCCTATATATATATATATATAGTTATTTTTGTATGAAAATACTTGTAAAGTTTTTGGAGTTAATATTAATCCTTTGACTTTCATGTATAATTTTAGAATCTTAATTATTGTTGAAAAGTAGATTTGGAAATAAGATAGTTTGCTGTAGCTATGTCAAATTAAATAGTTCCTATAAAATTACTTCTCTGAGTTTCTAAACACTGAATGAATTTTTGTTTTTGAAATTTTTTTTTTTTTTGTTAAGTGACTTGCAGAATACACAAGTTCCAGTGAAAAGTGTATACTTTGGGTTTTTAAAAATTTTATGTAAGTGTCCAAAACTAGTACTTTTTTAAGAACCAAAATTAGAATCGTATATGCAATAGTAGCTTTAAAAGTGTTAAAGTAGTGATACCCCATATGCATGGGTGTTAGCATCTCCTACTTTCCAGGAGAGAAAATATTTGGGGGTCCAGGGGCTGAAAAAAAATACCCATTGAAATCTAGGGGCAACTTGCTTGTTGGAGGTCAGGGAGATTAGCAAGTGATTGCTCAAGATTATACTGTAATTCATATTCGCAAATAAGGTCAAAATGAATGGACATTTGTGAATAAAGAAGACTTAGTTAGTAAGGAATATATATACAATACAACATATAGAACATTCAAACACACTTCACAGGATTAAGAATTTCAGAGATATACTTGTGTTACGATTTGGTACAACTCACAAACAAATCTGTCCGTACATATAATTTTTTTGATAATACTTTAAGTTAGAGAAAATACCTGTTTTTTTTTTCTCGTAAAACTTGTTTATATACATATCTAAGTAAACGTTTAACGTAGTGTCGATTTATAATCTTGAGGAATTTGTAGCAGAGACGGCTGGTCTGGATATTAAAAAACTTGTATTTAGAAATATAATACAAGTAACAACATTTTGACCTGCTTAGGTCATCATCAGTGTAATAATGATTTTAAATAAGTGATCTTATTGATCATGACAGTAATGATAAGTATAAGATTGTAGAGGACATTGTATGTATTTAATTGTATTATTATATTGGTAGTCAACAGTGTAATATATGTGAATACATTTAATGAAATAATTAATACAAGTATAACAGTCTTCCTTGTTGCTGGTTTAATGTAGGTTTAAATTCTTGTATTAAAAGTACTTATTTCATGTTTCATTTATTCACATTTATTTCTTTAATTAGTATTTTAATGTTTTTTATGCTTATATTGTGATTTTTTTTTAGTTACAGCATTCCAACATGTGGGAGGGTGTTTATTTTATTCTAGTTTCCATTTTTCGGCTTGTTTCCCTGATGTAGAATACATTGAAGTTGTTGCATTCTATTTTATACATTATGTTTGTCAGAGTAGTTTTTACATTGTATACTTTATAGTTTGGTACCTGGTTTTTGGATAAATTTTTAAATGTTTATTGGAATGTTATGTTTGGTTATAAGTTGTTTTGTTTTCCAACTATTAGTTATTTTGTTGCTGGTATCTGGAATGTAAGGTATACAGCAGTGTAGTGGGTTGTTTTTTTTTTTTTTTGAGATTGTTGATTGTTTGTCCATTGTGTTGTTGGTTGAGATTTCTGTATCTAACTCTTTTGACAGTTTTTGAAGAAATTTATTCTTGTGCCCCCTAGTGGCACAGCGGTATGTCATCGAACTTACAACGCCTACAAACCGGGTTTCGATACCCGTGGTGGGCAGAGCACAGATAGCCCATTGTGTAGCTTTGTACTTAATTACCATCAAACAAATAATTTATTCTTGTGCCCCCTAGTGGCACAGCGGTATGTCATCGGACTTACAACACCTAAAAACCGGGTTTCGATACCCGTGGTGGGCAGAGCACAGTTAGCCCTTTGTACTTAATTACCATCAAACAAATAATTTATTCTTGTTAACAAATTGTTGTTTCAGTTGGTTGACTTTATCATTAAGTTTGTCAGGTGAGCAAAGTTTTGTGGCTGTGTTTGTTAGGTTTTATTTCATGTGCCGAGTCCCATGGATTATAGGGTCCAGAATGATTGGTTTTCTTCTGTATATTTCTTTTGAACTGTGTATCTGTTTTGTGATACTGAGGTTCAGAAATGTTATTTTTGTATTCACTGGTGAACTTAATACTGTAGTGTATGTTGAAATAGCTAAGTTTGTGTTCTGTAGATGGGAATTCTTCAAATGAATAGTCTATATATCTGTACCAGTACAGTGGTGAATGTGAGTTTGAAGTGATAGCTTGGGATTCAATTTGTGGTATAAAAATGTTAGCTGGAATTGTAAACACTTGATTGCCCTTGTTTAATCCATTTGTTTGTTGAACAAAAAATGAGTTTTTGAGATAGTAAGTTTGAGAAGAGTTGCTAGGGATGTGTATCTGTGGGTTTGGGTCTTTCATGTAAAGTTTTAAAGTTATGTTGCTGGCTTCAGTGGTTGGAACCGAACAGGGTAGCCGATGGTCTAGATTAATTTTTTTGTTTTTGTATGTCATTCGGTCCTTCGTATATCAAATTTAGCGTACCTTTTAGTAGTTTTTTCTATAATTTATGGATAATATTTTAAACTTATTAAGGTTTAGGGGTAATTTTACGTTCACAGAATTGTCGATTAACGATCTGCTAAGACATCATTTCTTCGATTGATAATTTTGGGACTTAAGTTCTTTATATTTGAAAGGATCACTTGCCTTTGTGTGTTTAACAATGGAGCAATGTATATGGGTTGAACCATATTGAAGTTTGTACAGATACACAGAAACATTATGGATTTATACATACCAAATTATCACCATGAGTAAATTACTGATGATGCAAAGAACACACTTAAATTAAACCTAAAGCAAAGATGGCTGATGTGGGTATTATAAATTGTAGAAAGAGTTAGATACAGAAATCTCAACCAACAACAAAACACTACAATGCTGCATGCTTTACGTCCCAGATAACAACAACAAAATAACTAACATTTGCAAAAAATTATAACCAAACATAACATTTCAGTAAATACTAAATTCATCCAAAAAACTGGGTACCAAACTATACAATGTAAAAACTACTCTGACAAACATAATATTAACATTATGTATAGAATACAATGCAACAACTTCAATGAATTTTACGTCGGGAAAACGAGCCAAAAAATAGAAACTAGAATAAAATAAACACCCTCCCACATGTTTGAATGCTGTAACTAAAAAAAATTACAATATAAGCATAAAAAACATTAAATTACTAATTAAAGAAATAAATGTAAATAAATAAAACATGAAATAAGTACTTTTAATACAAGAATTTAAGCCTACACTAAACCAGCAACAAGGAAGACTGTTATACTTGTATTAATTATTTCATTAAACGTGTTCATGTATGATATTACACTGTTGACTACCAATAAGATGATAAAATTGAATATGTACAACACCCCCTATAATGTCGTACCTATCACTGTTGTTGCTCCTACAAAATGTGTGATAACAGTCGCTTTTTCAAAGTCATTCTTCACCTGATGATGATCTGAGCGGGTCGAAGCATTGTTACTTGTATTATGTTTTTAAATAAAAGTTTTTAATACCCATATTGCCCATCTCTGCTATAGATGTGCTTCAGTTTGACAATTGTAATAATTTCTTTCCGAAGAAACTTTAGCGATACAAGTCCTTTCTTAAATAAAACTGGTTTATTCTTTCTAAATACTTTATTCGTTCTAAATACAACTTTGCAATACACTTAATTTTCACAGTTACTTTGACTTAAACACACGCTATAGTTCACAACAATTCATTCACTTTCTACCGCGCTTGACTCAATTGTCCATCTCTATCTCCGCCTGTCAGCAACTATAGTTCCGATCTCTGTATCTGCTATCCTCGGTTCCTTGCTGTTGGTCTGTTGAAAGGCGTTGATGGTAAATGGTGGCTGTGTCTGGGTGCCTTTTTTCCTCCTGGTAGTGGTGGTTTGAGTAGACATTTATTGTGTAACAGGAGTGGGTGAAGTTTGAGTAGCTTGATTGGATGTTTTAGGATGGGCGGTAGAGTTCTGGTTGGCAGCGATTATCTTCTGGGTATTGTAAAACGTGGGGCTGGGTTAGGAAAGGTATGGGGTGGGTGAGGCTTGCGATAGGGTTTTTCTGCTTTGAAATGGTGATAGTCGAGGAAGCAACCGTGGGAGAGGATGAGATCAGCATTATGTTTAGAAGTTGTGACAACTTTCATGAACGTGGAGGGTAAACCTGTTTTCTTGGACTGGATGCGGTAGACTGCGTGGATCGTAGAATCTGTTGTAGCTAGCAGGGCTTGGAGTATTTCTTCTGGCGTGAACGATATGTGGACGTTCCGAAGAAATATAGTGTGGAGACATGCCTTGCTTTTGGGGGGGTTGTCAAGTGACGGGAAGATTTGAAGACCAGAGTTGGCGAAGGTAGTTGAAATCTTCCAGTGACTTAGGTTGGAGGAGTAAGCCTCCCTTCCGTAGACGTCGGGTTCGCTCAGG